TGTCACCGAGTGCTCGGTAAATACTACAGGCAGCAAGCAGAAAATAAACATTTCCCTTSAGCCAGCCCAGCCCTCTTCCAGGGCCCTTCTGTGCTAAGAGCCAGAAACTCCAGAAYTGAGCTGGGTGGGTGAGAACAGCTTTCTTTACACGTCACTGAGAGGGTGACACAGGRTTTCAAACTTTAACAGATGATATATGGCCACACTTTTTCATTGCTAGTTTAGCTCATTAAAGAAGTCTAATTCGATWTAGCACAGATGCAGCAAACCCCTTATTCCTGATGTAATTGACTTTCATGGACTCTGGACAAACAATAGACAACATCTGACAAATCCAGTGTCAGAGGCAAACAGCATTAGCGCCGCAAATAAACAGAGAAAAATTCTCCATCAGGTCCCTGCGGATGAGTGATAAAGCCAGGACCCAATTCCCTGTCTTTAATTGATCATTGTCTGAGTTTTGAGCACCTGACAGCTCTGCTGGGTGTTCTGCTAATGCTCAGCTAAACTCAGCCCCAGCTGYGTGTGGCACAGCCCAAAGCTCCGTCCCTGGAGCATCCCCCATCCACCGAATGCCATCGAGATGCTGCAACTTGATTGATTTTCATGGGAACGCTCAAAGCCACTTCTCACTGCAGGCAATTTCCGAGAATTGTCATCTTTCCACGATTTCGACTGTAGAGCTTTGTATAAATTGSTTGCAAGATTTTGTGGTTGCTGCGTTCCTTCTTGTGGGAGCCGTTTTTCACTCTCCACAATCAAAAAAAAAACAATCCCAAACCCTTTAAATAAACAAACGACTAAACCAAGCTGAGTTCCCAATCCTTGCAGCTTTCTCCGGATAATTTTTTTTTTTAAACAGCTTTTAGCGGGAAAGATTTTATCCTAAAAAAAAAAAAAGTCACATTTCCTGAATAGCTTAGAAAAGGGCTATGAATAGAACTGGACGCATATCCATGCATAGCTATCACACCAGATAATCCTGCTTTTCATTGTAATAAGCATGCAATTTCAGTGGTCAAGGGTGGAAGAAATTTGTTTCCACCCTTTTATAAATGCARGCAATGAATCCCACAAATATTGACCTCATGCACGGCACTCTAAACTGTTACACAGTTTGCGTGTAAGAGCCTCTCCTGCCGAGAAAAAGGGAGCAAGGTGATGGAGAAGGAATGGCATATTGGCAACTGGAGAGATGAAGAAGGGCAGACTGCAATTTTACATGGTAACTAAGAGGATCTGTAGCCTCTGAAGTGCAATTTAAACTCAAATCCACCGGGATTAGAGGTACTAGGCTCCAAGCATCCCATTAAAGAGCTGAAATTGTGTATGAAAGTCCCTTGTATTATTATTCCTGGCATCAAAATAGAGATTTGCAGCGTTTCAGAAACAGTGACTGACAAAACCAGCTAGTTAGAAGCTGCAAATGCATCCTTATTTTTGCCCAAACCCACCAGGGATTTAGCAATCCTAAAGATGAGGACATAAGTGATTACAGGACTGAGCTTACAAWGTTTAAAAAGACAGTTTGCTGTTTCAACACTGCCTTCAGGCACGGTTCCAGTCTGGGAGCCATTTTTCCAGCTGAATATTCGGGAGCCACCCTTGAAATGCTGGTAGGATTTCAACACCTCAAACAATGCCTTCCCCCAGAGAGAGGTGACAGGTGTTTCAGACAGCAATGTTAGGTGGGGTTTTTTGTTTCCTCCTGTTTAGGGTGAAATATTCCAAAAACTGACAATTCTGAGAAATAGATTATGCACAAAAGATAAATATTTACAAAGGCAAAGGCCAACATCACTTCCTGAGTGCACCTGAGTGCCCAAAGGAGCAGCCAAATGCAGACAGAAATAAGTTTTGTTTGTTTGCATTTTCTAGATGCGGGTTTACACAAAACATACATTTAAGAAAACCTCATGTCATCGAAAATCAGCAGAATTTTAGTGCCAAAGCTGAGCCATGACCTTAAATTGGACTGCTTGCCCTTGCAGCCCAATGACAGTGTAATTCTGTTTGATGGTAACTTGACTTCACACACACTTAGGAAGAAATAAATTAAAAAGAATAAATCTTTGTTGCATGGCTTTGTACACAAAGGCTTTGAAGCTGAACTCCCTCATGGTGTGAGGACAATGAGAAGTGTTTGCTCATCAGGGACTTGAAAGCAGAGCAGGACTGGGTAAAAAAAATATAAAATAAAATTTCAACAAGCTGTGGAGCTTTCAGTCTGCCAGGAGACTGACTATGGGACAGAATTATGAAATATTATTAAATTGTGCCACTCTCAGGTTGCTCCCAGAGATAATAATAATGATAATTGTGTCATAATGCCTCTTTCATGAGTGTCACACACAGAACCAGCTCTGTAGAGCATTTTACCAAAACCAGCTGAGTTTCTGAGCTCAGATTGATTCACCTGCCTGCTCTAGGTACCTGCACAYCTTGAGCCACCTGGGGACCTGTCAGAGACCTTCTGCTTTCCCTCTGCTCCTTCCAACAGCAGCCTATGCCTCTCCCAAAAGGTTTTCCTGAGGGACAAACACTGACACCTCGTAACTCAGCACTCACCTGTGAGCTCTGCTGGGCTCCCCAGCACCCCAGAATGATCTGTTCCATCCCTCCCTTTCCACCCAGCTCATAKCCTGATCTTTCCAGCACACTGATTAATGGATTTGCAATTCCCAAAGCTTTCCAAGTCGCCTTGAACAAGAGGTTTCTGCTCCCCAGAAAGAGACTGYAATCAAAGAAGGATCCAGCACTGCAATTACAAGGGATCTAAAATGTTCCTCTGTTTAAAAATCCAGCTCTTTCTGTTCTCAGTGAAATAATTAATTCTGCAACTGAACTCATGGGGGGTTTAAACCACTTTTAAATGCAATGCTCTTGCTTTGTTAAAAGGCAACCACAGCATTTTGAAGGAAAAATATCAATCAGAAGAGACTTGCAGAAGTCAAAAAGGTCCTTCCATTTTGTTTAGGCTCTTTAGAAGTGTTCAGTCATTACGAAATTAGCGCTTCTGGCTGCCAAAAGGCTTGCTGGAGGTTGTGCTGCTGAATCCCAGCCCAGTTGGCACCCAAGCAGTGGGTATGAAAACTGCAGTGGCAATTTGGGTTACAGGGACATCTGGCAGGGAGCTGCAAGGATGATTAGGGACCTGAGAAGRAAATCAGTCCCAAAGGAAAGCAAGTGGGATGGAAGCAGAATAGACAGWGTGATTATTTTGCAGCCTTTTAGAAGCTTGCAACAATTATTTTTGAGCAGAATTRGAAAGAAAATACAGCGTCCAGATATAATGGATCAGACTGTAATGGTGATGGTGAGGAGGGAGCTATTACCTAGGAATAGGAAGGGGGTTTATTTGTTTTTTTTAGGAGGGTCTGAGACTCCCAGCTGCACAATTCCTGCGTGTGAATTCAGCCAGAGACTTCCAAGTGAATTCAAGCAAGAGACTTCCTGATGCAGGACTGACACCACTCACTCCAGTTCATAAAATGACAATAAGTACCTGGCAGGAAATTTGAATTTAACAAATGCTCATAGGCTTTAGTGTTTGTTTCTACCTAATAACAGCACAATTGCAGAGCTGCCAGAGAGCTACAAAGCCACTGGAACATCAGTGAATCTCCCAGGACTGAGCAGAATTCCCAGTGACACCAGTAACAGTGCACAGGAATTGTGTGGGCTCCATCTGCACAGATCCCCATGTTCCAAAAGGAGCAACCACCCTGAGAGTGCCCTGGTTATGTGCAACWGCTCTTCTGTATTTTCATCTCCAGCTGATGAATTTGTCTCAGGGTTCCATGTTGGACAAAATTGTCACCAAAACTGTGGGTAAACCAAAAACTCTGCAATAACATTTTTAATATTAGAGAGTCAAGGCATCACTTTRTTTTCTGACCAAGATGTTGTTCTAGCCAGGATGTGCCACAGAAATCATTTCATTCACACACAGCCTGGGTGTGCAGGGAGAATCATTCCATGGCACATGGATTTTACAAGATTTTCCCCCAAACTTTATCCAGTCCAAACCCAGAGAGCTCCACTGGTTCAATGTTCATTGGTCCAACGTTGTGCAGTTCTCAGGGTTTGGGTTCCTGTTGGATCTGCATTTGTTCCCCTCTGATGCTGATCAGGTCCTGCCCCTCATCTC